ACTCTCTTTACCTCAGTGTCTCCTTCTGTAAAAATACTGACTTTAATGTGAGACAATGTAAAACATAAGACCACACAAAGCCAAGGCACACTATATTTAGGAGGGGCTTGTCAAATTTTCAATGAGGCTCCTGCACTGTGTGATGCTTCCCAGTAAGAATTAAGAGTCAGATCAAAGCCACCTAACGTGGCTTCGGGTTAGGTTGGTGTATGTTTTAGATAACCTCTCCACAGCTGATACACTGCATGAAAAACTACTTTACTTTGTTGCCATACAGCCACTGCTGCACAGCAGCTTCCCCCCTACAGACTCCAAAGCTCATTTGGAGCATTTTTTCACACTTTTAATTTGAAACCTCGCGGAGCAGTGTCTCTATGAGAATCAGATCTGTTTGTTAGAGCTGAGAGTCGAGTAGTTTGGAGGATCTCGGGTAGCGTGTCTCCTAATTCACTGAAAGAAAGAGCAATCAGCTAAGCTTCAGATGGCACCCAACAGACGACAGATTCAATCTCCTTTCTTCGAGCGTCTCTATTGTGACGTTCCCACATGCTGGTGAGCACGCCGCGTTGCTCACATTACTGATAATCTATGCAAATAGGCCACAGATTGACTAGAATGTATCTAATTGAGAAACATATGTGTCACACTCAAAAATAATAATTCTTACATCTCCCAGTGTGCGTGTGTGTTTATTCTCCCCCTTTACTTTATTTCTGTCAGCATTCGTTCATTTATGCAGTTACATGTGACTGTGATGTTGGCGTCTTGCCGTTTAAAATGAGGACACGGTGTATCTTTTGTTTGTCGGTACAGCGTTGGGAGTATTCCTCGCTCTCACCTTCTCTCGCTCTCTCGTTGTGAACCCTTCTGCGGCATCGCAGGAACGTCCTGGCCATTATGAGAAGCCATTAATGAGTGCGTGGCGTGGCGTGTTGTGATGCGCGGCATATTACAGCCATTCATCAGAGTCAGGAGACACTTGACAGGCGACAGCCAACAGGTTGTGTAATCATATAACACAGCCATGTCAGGCCTGCCACAGCTCCGTGTCCCATTCAGGCCTCTAATGTTGTTTTCCTCTGGGTAATTGACAATACCAGACAGAGAGACCCAGTGAAGGATAACATAATGGACCGACAGGCACACAAAGATGGCGGCCCACCGCCAGAGTGATGTCATTTCAATTTATATCAGCTTTTGGAGATATCTGCAGCAAATTTGTGCTTCTTAAAGCTTTGGTCTGCTTTTCCTTCTTCTTGGGTTTGTAATTACTGAAATGGGGCAACACAGCGATCTCATGAAAACGAGAACTTCAGCAATGTAGTAGCTCACGCGGCTACTACTACTACGGCGATGTACCCTTGACCTTGACCTTGAGCACAGTGTGGTGAAAACCCATTAGGTGATTACTGTGTGCAGGTTTCACTATAATTTGACGGACACTACAGGATGAATCAGGTGATAATCATCCTGATCATGTTTTGTGATCCGAGATCAAGAAGTCGCTCTCAGTGCAGAACAAATAGATACTTAAATCTCTCACTCCCTCAGCTATTAGATCGCTTAACTCTTGACAGGGGTTATTTAGTTTGACTTCTTTTAATGATTGCTCATTTTAGACACATTTCTTTCTCAATCTATTTATTTTCTTTGGGTTTTTTAAATGAGTTTTACTATTTACTGCTCTTTGCCGACCGACCTCTTTGCCTCTTTGCCGGTGTTTGACACACCTTGACACTCAACAGTTTGTACGTTGTATGTCTATAATTAGGCAGGTTGTGATCAATAAAGTGAGTTGAAAATGGAAAAGTGCCAGTAAAACAACAAATATGACGCTGAACTTGAGCACAGTTTCGGTAATGACTGATTACTGTGAGTGATTACACTTGTAAGTTTGACTGAATCCTGTGCAAGGAGTAGCAATTGTTGTGAACTGACACCAGAGGCCTCGTCATGGCGTGAGCTCAGCCGTCCACATGAGCTAGCAAGAGAATTTCAAAACAGCAGAAATCCCACCCTGAGAGCTTCCTGTTTCATAGTGACTGTTGAGAATGATACGTTAGCAGAATGCTGGTGTTTTAAAGGCAAAGTGAAACGACAGCTGTATTGTTTCATTCCAACCAAGAGTGTGGCTGACTAAACTAAACTAAAATAAAATGTTGGCCTTGTGTGTTTAGAAGCAGGTGTCGAGCTTACGTTTGTTTTTTTGTTTGGAAGGAGTTCAGAAGTTCGTGCACTTCCTATCTGGTCATACCTGTATAAATGCCTGCCTGCTCTGCATACCTGTTTGCACCCCACCCTTCCTCCTCTGTGTCTGCTTGTCTTCCTCTTTTGCAATTGCTAAGAGGATCTGCCTAGCTAGGGAGCTCTTACATGCTTTCCCCAAAGGGCAAATACTGCCCTAGATGGTTGCTTTTCATCTGCTTAAGCATTTTTTAAAGTATTTGCGTCCTTTCCTACCAAATTTTCCGTCCAAAAACCGATTTCCTGAGATCTGCCTAGGACCATCTGATGAGCGCCCTCTAGGTAAAGCGCAGATCATTTCATTTAAGTGAGACCAGGTGAGAATAACTCCAGGGAGAGCCAGATTATCTAAACCCTGTTATCTAAATATAGAGCTAAAACTCAAAGTGAGCAGTAGTAACACAGAAAGAGTTAGAAAGTCAAAGCTGAAGCAGGAATTCTGTTTGTAAACCACAATGACCGTTTAAAGCGATTGGCCAGAGTCATAAATATGAAAAGCGAGACAAATATCATCTTTATCCATTAAATAAAATCATTAAAACCATTGATCCAAGTTATTGTGGTGATTAGGTCTAAAGATGACAAAGTTAAAGCAATTACAGTGTACCAGCAGGCCATCTGACGCTCAGGAATGTGCGTCTCCTACTCTGCACAACTCCCAGCTCCGTCAGAGAGGAAGAGGTGGCCCTGAGGCTGTGTTAGACATTGTTAAGGATAGCAAGTATCCTCACACAACCTGTTCTGCTCTGTCCCTAAGCTGGAGAAGAGAAGACAATGTTCTCTCTTATCCTCCCACTCTCACCGCTTCATACCTCTGCTTGTTTGTGAAATGCCTCTTGCAGCACAAAATCCAAAAACGGCCAGCTTGTGCGTGTGAAAAACAGGGCGTAAGATGTTAACCACAATGAAACTCACCAGCAAGGATAAAAATAAACACCCCCTGTCTTTTGAATATCATCACTGTCTCCTAAGCTGGAGGTAAAACTCCTTAGAGAATAATGGTTTTGATTAGACTCGCTGTCTGTCATTGTGTCTTCGTCTTGCCTTTCTCTCACCCCTTCACATATAGTCAATGTACAGTATACGCACATAAAAGAAAAAAGAAGATGGGAAGAAAGGGACAAAACAGAAAAGGCAAGAAAAAAAGAGGAGGGTGTAGGACACTGGATGGCGGAAAAATAAAACACGAATGAAAAAGGAACGCCGAGAATGGGATCATAAATCTGTCACAACAGAATGGGTGAGAGGCCTGGAAGACCTAAAAGGGCTTATGTCATTGTTTTCCAAAAAGCTCTGTTTTCCTTCTTCACATGTACACAGGCCCCGCAGCTACGCTGTAACCCTGTGACGCAGAAAATTTCCCCTTTAGTGTGGTCACACACTGAAGGAGTCCACCTAACCGCGGCGAACAAAACGCACTCCTCCTCTCTCCTAAATCTCAGCTTCATCGCCTCACAACGGCCGCATTGTTCGACCTCAACAGTGGCCACGCTGTGCGCCGCTGACGTTAAAAAGGCGTGCAGTTAGAAGCTACGGGGATAAATACTCTTCAGTAAACAGCAACAGTCTGTAACGTGTTTGCAGCAATGATAGGCTTTCTAAACAAATTAAGCCAAAGCGGCTCTACATTACTCATCCTGGCCGGCTGTCTGGCCAAATTCTGTCTCCACTGCACAGTTGTTTGATCAACTGTTTGTGCCGAGTCTATGCGTTAATGTGAGGGAGGGAGAGAGGAACAACAGATATGAGTCCACGGGCTTGAGCTGAGACGAATACAGCACGACAGCCGCAGGGAGAAGCAGTGAAACTAGTCTTCCTATACTTTCATGTGTCTGCAGTCATGTGCTGTCACATTCGGAAGCTCTGTTCTTTCTTTCGCTGTGCATTACTTGTCAGTCTGCTGATGGTCGGCGTGTGTGTGTGTGGGTTAAACCTGTCACTTTCTGCACTCTGAAGTCCGTGTCCTAATCGCTTTGGCTGATCCCTGCTAGTCGGGTGTGTACAGTATTTGTGTCGGGCTGGCTATATGTGCACACGAGTGTTTGTGTGCAGGGCAGATGCTCCCAAAGCATAGCCTTTGCTCAGCATTCACACACACACACATAGTATTAAGGAAGATTACCTTGCACTTTATTTATTTATTTGCTTCCTAAACTGCCCCCACCCAACTCCCAAAGCCCCCCCTCCCCCCAAGTCATTTTTCTTAATCCCTGGTGGAAAAGAAAACGGGAGGCAAATAAAGAGTGTAATATTGGAGCACTACAGACACTACAGACCTACTTTCTAAATGGCCGATAAATTTTCAGATTTAGGGCAATGAAAAGTGCACTAGACCTTTGAATGGGAGCCACAATAAGGTCCCGGTAAGCTCTTTTAAAGTACAGTGTGCCCTACTATTACTGTTTGTCACTACAAATCTCTTTCAAGCAAGACTTTTTGGGGGGTTTTTTGGAAATCAAAGGTTCTTGAATCGTAGCATGTTTTTTTAATGATTTCTCATTTTGACACTGGCCACAAGCATCATGGTGGGGATTTTATTTTAAAGCAAAGCCTGCACAGCGCCTCATAAACAGCAGCTGCAGACTGCTTCCTTAGCTGCCAGCTCAGGAGCGTCCAGTCAAACCAGCCACATCACTCCCTCACTTTTTCTCTGCGTGCCAAGTCGGCTCCAAGTCAGGAAAAAAAAAAGGAGGCAGGATTGATTCAACCAATGTGCACAATCGATGAGATGCGGAATGAGAGAAAGATCCGTTTACCTGCGTGAACCTTGACCTCGGTGGTAGTGCCGCTGTGGTCGCCACCCCCTCCCCCGCCCCGCCCCGTCATGTATTCCTCACGCAGGGTCCCTCGCTGACCTCTCCTTAAGTGGCGATCTGAAGGGAAAGCGAGACAGAAGAAGAAGGCTGTTACATTTCTTTTAATGGAAAGCCAGTGAGAGCCTGGTTCAGACAGAGGACAAATGTATCACAGAAAACAAAAAAAATGCACCCCGGAGTTGAAAAATGTGTGCGGGAAGCCATGAGGGAGTTTGCTATACTGCCCCATTTACTCTACCTCCTAACCCTGCCGGAGAGCCAATGAACCAATAAACAGCTGCACCACCAATCACACTACCGTGCGTATATACTGCAGCAGCAGTCCTGTGTAAACCCCCCACCACCCCCATCCACGCGACCCCACCACCCCCACCCCTGCTGCACAGGAACAATGTCCTTCCTAAAGGTTATCAGCAGCCTGCTGCTTGGTCAGCCCTCATTCTGAATCCATTACACACAGAGCATCGAGATTCACTGCCTTAATACACCTCTCTTAGTCTCTCCTCACTGCTTCACTGCGCCCTTTACAGGCCGATACAAATCCAGCGTAGGCCCAGAACACACACACCAGAACACACAAATTTACACGGGTTTTGAGATTAGCCTATCAGAACTTTTCCTTGCTGTCTCTGTGATTGGTACAAATTTCATCACCACAGAAGCTGTGATGATGAAATCGAGTACTATGCTAGCCCCTACCCTTGACCACCGATGTCCAAATGCTCCAAAACTGACTTCGTCATACACTTTGATTTATGGCCAAATAACTTTGAAACTAACCACATCCCCGCCAGCCTCAGCTATAGTCTATGTTTGATGTAAAACAGCAAATGTTGCTTAATATAAAAAGCTAACAGACTAAATCATTTTGGCGTCCTACAACATTACTGCAATAAAGTTTATAATAACTGACAATAATAGTCCCCCAGGAAGATACACAATTCCCCTACTTCCTCCAGTGTTTCTTCACATGCAATCTGGTCAAGAAGTAGAATAAGTCTAAAAACTGCAGTTTAGAGTCAAAACGCGGACAGCTAAAATCTTGTTAAAAGTCTGGGGATCCAGAAGTGTATGATTGATTGATTTCTCTTAGATCACTTTTGTTAGTGTCCATATTTTGCAAAAGTTTGAAAACAGGAGTTTTGCTTCAATCAGCAAAAATCAGCACTCTTTGTCCTGGCAGCAGATGTTAGCTGAAGCTATAATAAAAGGAATAAAAGATAACACCATGTAAAAAACAAACAAAAAAAACCACCTAAAATCGCTGATACCAATATTGAGAGAACAACAGACATATGGTTGGAGAAGCGGTGGTCACTACCATCCATATTTCCTGTCTCTCTTTACTATTCCCATCAATAAAGGCACAAAATCCATGTGATGCAATGGCAGGCACCTCATACATCACGGCACCTGCTCGTTCATTTATTCCATGATGGGAAGGGAACATACTGAAGACTATAATGTGAGAGGGGGGATGTGTGCTGATTTTGGACAGAGTCCAAAAAAGAAGAGGACAGGGCAGAGAAGAAAGCCATAAATACGCATGGAGGCGAGCAGGTGTTCGAGAAATATGATTTGCGGGGGTCTACGTAGCACGCGGTGCTGACAGGTAAGCCTATTAGGTTGCTATTACCCAGCTATAACATGCACCAGTGTTTAAAGGTGATGGGTTTAAGAGAGAGTTATACATTTAGTTTTAAAAATGCAGCAACTACATCATTACTGAGCTGGCTTCACATTGATTTAATTCACTGCGTCGCCTTTTTTTGTTTTTTCCGAGCTGACATAATTCGGCAGCCGTGAAAGAAATACGTGTTTCGCTTCGCTTGTCGAATAAAAAACAAGCAAACAAACAACAGCAAGCTTGTTTTATTGCAGTAGATGTTAGGTCTGATTCGGCTTTAGAGAGCAACACCAGGTTTTTCTCTTCTTTTTTTTTCTCTCATATTCTGAAAACGACATTAGCCTTCACATCCAAAAGAGTGCAAGAGAGAGCTAAACACTGAGATGGCAGTGCATTTCTGCGCATTGAAAACTGCCAGGGAGCAATCAGTGAAGAATGCAAACGTTTATAAGAAACCCAATGCACTAGAACATGGAGATCTGCAATCGAATTTCACTTGAAATACTGCACGAGAGACACAAGACTGCGAGAAAATTGCTACCACTTGAGCAGCACACTACAGATGGTGTTGAGAGCAACACAGCACATAGCAATGTGTTCTTTAATAACGCGGTGAATATTGCAGTGAAAAGCTGAGTAGCTTCTGCAGACTCCTGCTTTTTTTTCCCCTTTCCTGTCAGAAGTGTGAACTCTTTCATCCAGGATATAAGAGGCTGCGGTAAAATCCTCAAAGAGACTAATCGCGTTAAATGAGGTTTGTGTCTGTATCCATGACTTCTGAGTGTGCGTGTGTGTGGGATGTCAGGGGCTGGAGTGAGGGAGGTTGTAGGTGCCTGTGAGCGACTACAAATTCTTGACACCTTTGAATCTAAACTCTGTCCTGTCTCCGCTCGAGTCAGCCGTCTCCTGTTTTCACTCGGTTAATGCTTCAGTCCTGGTAACTGTATCAGTTGATCGGGGTGTACATTTACGGAGACACGAATACATTTTCTGTAGTCTTAAAAGTGATTCAGTTTCTGAAGATGACAAAGCCTAAGTTTGCCTTTTAAAAGCCTTTAACACCACCACATTTACTTTGGCTTTCTGGAGGGGAATCCTCGCCTCAAGTGGCCGCTCGTACAGTTCAGCTCATACAGACGCATTCATACAGAAGCATGTGCACAAGCACGCACACATATGCTATGCATCGAAATAAAAAAAAGCAGGAGAGCTTTAAAAGCAAACCTCATCTTCCTTAAAACAGCCAGGGCTGTCCCTGGGTGTCTTAACACAACTCATCAACTGTTAAACCAGAGAGAGAGGCAGAGCAGTAAAAATCAATGCCCCCAGCACTGCAAACAGCAGTCAATTATGTTAGTTGGAAGAGGAAAGAGCGAGAATTTGCAGCAGTGTCTGGAGAGGTAAGGAGAAAGAAATGGGAGGAATCCAAGGAAGGAAGGAAGGCAGGAAGGAGAAAGTCCATCTTAAGCTAAAAGCAGCAGGCTAATATATGTAATTGATTACCTCTATGCAAATAGAAGAACTTTAAAAAACCACCGACTGCAATTTAAAGCAGGAGCAGAGGCTCTGAAAATCGATTGACGCCATGAGCGAGAGAAGCCATTTTCCTCTAGCCAAGATAAAACACTTTACTACGAGCTGTCAGATACTTATCAGGGGGAAATTAGCAGAGGAATACCATTTTCCCAAAACAAACAGGTCAAGTGTTTCTCCTCTTTTGAGTGGCCTGTCCCACGCTTTCACCGTCTCCCGCTCTGATATCATCATCTGTTATTTCCTCCTGTTTAAATGCCAACAGTAAGGGAGCCAGGGCTGTATTTCATTCAAACAGATCATTTGTAATAAAAGAGGAGGGGGGTGGGGAGAAAAGCCCCACGCAGGCAGGCCTTGTGCACCGGCAGTAGCCGTCTGTTGTTTGAAACAGAGAGGATGAGGTCTCCGGTTTTGCCTCAACTCCCGGGAGCGACCCCAAAGCCTGCCAACACCCGCACGCACTCGCTGACGCAAGTCCGTCCTCAATCTACGAGCCCGATCTCACCAAAACAATATCTGAGTTTCTGGCCTGCAGTCGGTGTTACTGGCTGGAAAAAAAGGAGAAAAAACAAGAAAGAAAGAAAACAGACAGAGAACAGAGCACAAAGAGATGTCGAGGCAGGCAGCAGCCCACACAAGACAACTTTGGTGGAGAGAGAGAAAAGGCCAGCTCGGCGTCAACATCAACACCGGTTCTGCAGTCACTGCTCAGCAGGTAATTATGATAACAACGTGTTCCCTAGGCGGCCTCTCTCTGATTTAGTTTCCAAGCACTTACCCTTCCTAAAATCTCCCCCCTGATAACATCTGATATGATTACAAAGTCGAGATCCCTTTCAAAGAGCGCCCACTTATGTGCCTTTAATTTGGTGTACACTAACTTTCCCTCTCATGACTACTCACTGAAGCTTCTCGTCTTATTGTGTACGCCTAGTTAAGATGTTGCCCCCTTTGGATTGTCATAACATTTCGGAAAATGCAGTGACATAAACAAACCTCACCTACCAACACCATCCGTTACGGAGCGCGCCACTTGCTTTCTATTACCTTCCACTGTAAACACAGCTTTGCCGCATGGGGAAATACGCCATTTCATTGTGTCTGTTAACATCCAGTTTTAGCAGTGGGAATTCGGCCCTGAATGGAATCAACCGAGCTGACCCTGTGATTACCTCTGCGGTGCGGCATTTTCCTTGGCTGTCATCACAGCAGACCCTTTAAACGGCCAGAGCTGCTCTGCAACAGAGGCTAGGCTGTTGACATACTGAAGACATTTAAGATAATCCCGGAGATGTCTCTGTGATTTCCAAGATTACATCTTCAAAGGGGAAATGCGCCCGGCAGCCTGTACTTGAAAGGGAGAGAGATGCGGAGGGCTCTTGTTCTGAAGGAGGGGGTGGAATAGCTCAAGAATGCAATCATGGTTTTGGAGTGGAATAAGGCCTGTCCTGGCTAGCTAAGCTGGCAGGAGGGTGAGAGGATAGGAGGGGAGCGAGGCGAAGGAGAATCAAACCTGAGAGAGAAAACACACCTGTCGGAAGGGGACAAAACACAGCGGGGCTGAGACAGAAGTCTCACCTGTGCAACCAGACCTGGGCCTGCCTTGTCAAGTTGTCAAGTTGAGATTAAATAGTTATTCATTTCCTCCACATGAATCAACTTTTTTTGCCTAAGAAAACAGACCTAAATGCTTCAAAGTGTATACTTTTATATTTGATTGTGTCATAATGCTGAGGTAGAAATCAAAACTTCTCAAACCTGAAGGATACGGTCGTTGCTAACCAGGTTTGGGACAAAATATTGCTCTGGTAGCAATTTTCTACGCAAGCACTTTATACCAAATGCCTCACACTAAGATGAACACACTAGAAAGCAACTTGGGGTTCTGCCCAACGAT